CGGCCGTGTGGGGGGTGCCTTAAAACCATCTACCTTCTCTGGTCCAAACAAATCCAGAGCATTCAGGACCAGAATCTAAAGTTAGAAGGAGGACATACTGGCTGCTGCATTGTTGTCAGAGAAGCCAGCACTTCAACATAGCATGTTTCCTTAATGTCTGATCATATAGTAAGATCACTTTATCAGTTCACTCACTACACATCTTACTGATTGCTCCTTTAAAAAATAAACAATAAGTTCCCATGCTTTTGGTTAACATGTTCCATTATCTGCTGTCAAAATGAACAAGTTGTAGTTGTAAAAATGTCCTAACATGTCATCATGTTGTTTATGATATTTTTATTGTTTTAATGAATGGCAGCTGAAGGTTTGTCCTTTGGATCCAAACGGATGTGAACAGGAAGTGAATTTTTCTCTGAGCTCTGGATCATTTTCACATTTGTGTCTTTGTCCTTCTCTGAGTCGCATCACTTCAGCTCAGTCCGTCTGAGTTGTCTTATAAAAAACCCTTTCTGTAGTTTGTCTCTTTATTATTTACAGCATTGGATCGATAAAGAAAGAGATGTCTGACTTTGGCATAAAACAGATTTACTGTTAGTAACACAGACACGTCTGGAAGAGTTCGAAGAGTGAAACCAACAATCAGAAACTTGTCATGCTACAGAACTAAAAATAAATGAATCTACTTGGAAAATCCTTAAAAATATGTTTTGGAAATAAACCCTCTTTCTGCCAACATGTAAATAAAAAACATCTGCTTAAGAATAATTTCTACATTCAAAGATCTTTGGAAGAAATGGAAAAGTTGTGTTTAGCATCATAAACACCACTTAGCCTGGCTGCACTTGGGTTGATGGTCCTGCTCTCCTCGCTCCTATTACCTGGATGTAAACAAGCCCAGTGAACAGAGAGCACCTCGTAGCAGTTTGGAAGTATTTTGATCTAGAAAACGGAGATAGAAATGTTTGTAGGCTGTGTCACGCTAAACTGGCACATCGACCAGATCAATAATCACATTTGGTGCAGGTAGGATGACGTTAACCTGAAGGGAGGACTGAATGCTGGCGGTGCTAGCGCTGCTAATTATAGCCATGCTGAGCAAAACAAATGACATGGTTTACCTGCGGATAATTTGGAACAAATAGTGACTGTTTTCTAAGTGCTTTATTACCTTAAGCCTAGTTGGTCACAAAGCATTTGAATTTCCGTTTACCAAAGTAGGAAATGAGTCTGCTGGGAACATCCTTAAAGGTCACATATCATCCTCCTCTTCAACCAGTGTAAATAAATCTCAGAGCTCCTCAAAACAAAAGTTTCTTGTTCTAAATCCACTCTGATCCTGTATTTGATCATGCCTATAAACCCCTCTATTTCAGCCCTGCTCAAAACAGGCTGTTTCTGTGTCTGTACCTTTAAATATGTAAATGAGCTGTGTCTTACCACGCCCCCTCTCTGGAAGGCCTTGGGTGTCTCAGGCTTTCTCACTCCATGTCCTATTGTTTACAGTGAGACGGCAGACTCAGAGGGCAGAACAAACACCTAGCTGTGAGAGTGTCACCCACCTGGGGGAGGGGTTACTGCCCTTTGTGATGTCATGAAGGGAAAATCTCCAAACGGCCTGTTTGAGCACACATTTTCTGAAAAGTGGAGCAGTGAAAAGATGGAGAGGATGGACCTTTATCATAATTGGGGGGTTTGTAGTCAGACTAGAGACACATATTAGAGTAAGCGTATTTAGTATAATATGTGACCTTTAAGGGATTTGTGTCTTAGCTCGTAGCTTCACATTGCATGTAAATTGACACACAATGAGTGTGATCTAAAAACTCTTACTAACATCCAAATAATCAATGAGTATGTTCTTCTTCTTCTCTCTAGTTCTTGACTAAAACAGCTTTTATACACAAGGGGAGGAGCCGGCCGTCCCGTCCATGTAAACACGGCTCTGACTACAACACAGCGAGTGGGACTCGAGCTTCTCACTCATGTAGACAGTCATGACTCAGAGACACGTTTACACAGGATAGACTTGATCTCTGATATATTTATGTGGAACATGTCGTACATTCTTCCTTTGAAATATATATAAAAAAGCACAACAAGGATATAAATTTACTGTTGATTTAAACTCGTTGCTCTTCATGAACTCTTCCAGATGTCCGTGTGATGAACGTAAACGTGAGGCATCTCTTTGAGTTTTGGTTCGGACTGTAGATTTACGTCCAGCAGGTTCAACACTGTGAGTCTTTGGGAAGAGCAGTTTAAAGTCTGACTGTTCATTTATTTATGAATATTATTATTATTAAAGCTTTTTAAACTCTCAGGCACACAAACCTTTTTGGTGTTCATGTAATATCTGTGCTTTGACCCTCAAAGTGTTTCAGAACAACACAGGAACTATTTACACTTTGTTGTGAGATCGACTCTCTGAGGGAACATCGGTCATGAGGGGGAACGTTTGCCCTGGTTTAGATCAGTACCTCGGATGATCCGACGCCATCTTTGAACGGAAATAAAAAGAAAAAGTGAAATGCTACAACGAGCAAAAAAGAAGATTTGGACTAATTGAAGCACGTTCTGTGTCGTTCAACACATCTCCTCGTGAACGATTATTTCTATAAGAAATCACGTCCATTATCTCTTCTTGTCTCCCTCCGCCATCTTTACATCAGCCGACATCAGAGCTGCAGAAATTAAATTATCCACATTTTAAAACAAAAGTGCCCGAAGCATTTTATGAGGATCAAGATAAATATAATTTGTTTCTTCTGTCCTTTCACGTTTCTGTCTTTTTTCTTTACAATACATCCTTCTTTAGTTTGTTCTGTTTTTTTTTTTTTATAGTAAACTCGAGCATCCTCCTCAGACGCCCGTGTTGATGCTCGTTGTGCATTCTCAGTCTGTTTGCTTTGGTCGCAGCCTCCTTTGGCATCGCTGCTGCAAAAAGAAAGACATAAAAAGAAACCAGGAAGTAAAGCTACAGACAGAACATCAGTCTGTTTTTTTTTTGGTATTTCATTGTTTTTGTCCCGGTTTCAAGGACAAGTTTTCTTTGGAGGGAAACCCAAACGTCTCCAATAAATATTCTCTCCTGGGTGAGTCCGAGTTCTTCTTCTCTGCCGGGGGGAAAAAAACAGAAAGGATCTTTGGTTTGGTTGAATCAGGATTCTCTCCGGCAGGACGAGTGTGGCTTTACAGTCTCTCCTCTCAGGAAGTGGGCGGAGTTTAAACCGGTCGCTGGTCAGACTTTGTTCACACTGAGGCGGCTGAATCTGAAAACGATGAAGAAGAACGTCTCACACTTTCAGCTTGCGTTACCAAAGAGCTCAGCCCCACACGGAAAAGATAAACTGTTTTCGTTTCTCTGACAGATTTGATTTTGGTTCCTAAATGCTGCAGAGAGGATTCAGTGTTACTCTCCTGATCATGAAGTTACCCGTTGTGATGTACCTGGACAGGCTTTACAAACCGGATCAACTTTGACATGTTTAAGGGTCTTAAACCGAGGAAATACTCCAAGAGATAACTTCAGCCTGCAGCAGCAAAACAGGCTGTAAATACAAAAACAAATGCTGCCTTACTAACTACGATTTATCGCTGAATTTCAAAAGTGAATCGCGATTAATCGATTTGTAATTGCATGTTGCATGATCATTTTGCATTTCAAAGCAAAATATGTAATCGAAATCTTTGACTTTAATCTTGGAATTTCTGAGCGTCACCTTCGCGCCTTCAGATTTAATTTTTGAATGTCCAAATTCACTCATTGAAGTTTGCTGTTTTTGTTTTTATTGCGAGACAGATGATGATGCTCTGGCTATCAGACGATACAAATTCCTAAACGCGATTAATCGCTAAATTTGAATCGTGAAATTCCATAATTTCACATTTAAAAATAAAAATTGTCAGGCTTTTATTTAAAAAAAGGGGACAGGGTCAAACATGAGGCTAATCAGAGACGCTTTATGGAGCTTTTAATGGTTGGATTTGCTTCTTCAGTCACCTCTGGTGGCGCTGCTGTCATAAAGTCCGTGTATAAAATATCTGAACTCTGTGGTGAGAACAATGTCGACTCGGTGAGATTTTTAAAAAGACGTGTTTTCAAATGAAGCCGCCTCAGTGTGGGCGCGGTCTGAGTCCGTCAGCAGTCGGGGTTAATCCACCTCGATGGACTCGCTGCTCTCGTTCACCGGTTTACACTCGTTGGGAAGTCGTTGATGGCGGCTGAGCTGAGTGGCCTGCGTGAAGCTGCGGTCACAGCGCTCACATCTGAAGCACACACACACACACACACACACAGAAACACACACACACACACACACACACACACACACACACACAGATAGAGAGAGAGAGAGAACGATTAGATATCAGGATTATAAGAGTTAATATGCAAAAACAATCAGAAGAATTAAACTGTTAAAGAGGAATAAAACACACACACACACACACACACACACACACACACACACACACACACACACACACACACACACACACACACACACACACACACACACACACACACACACACACACCTCCATGTTAACTCTAATATCCAGTGACAGTATAAAGTGTGTGTGAGGCCCAGCGGAGCAGCAAGCCGTAATTGTTGCCCTGATCTCTTACAACCGACCGACAAATTACACACACACGCTCAGACACACACACACACACACACACACACACACACACACACACACACACACACACACACACACACGGTCAACCTGTCAATAATCTATCTCGTGGGCTGGGGAGGGTTTTCCCATCTCACACACACTCACACTCTCACGCACACACACACTCGGGCGTGTCCAGGCCTGATAGAGCAGCGTCACTGTCACCTTCAATAGACGGAGAGAAGAGAGGGAGCTTTTAGTCTGAGCTGGAGGACGAGGAGGGGGGGGCAGTTAAATGTGTGTGTGTGTGTGTGTCTTCAAAGAGAAAGCTGTGTTGAGGTATTGGACTTAACAGCCCTGAAACAAGACTAACATGCTGTTAGATAGATAGGAGGGGGGGAGGGGGAGGGGTGTTAGTCAGATAAGGAAGGAGACTGGACCGACCGACGTCCATCAGGAAGCTCGTTCATTCAAAGCTCTTTTCTCATAAAAGACATAAAAAAAGATGCTTTCCTGCTTTTATTCCTGTTTTTCTTTAAAGTGTTTTTAGAGCTGATGTGAGAACGCAGCAGGATATAATCAGGAGAACTCAGCTGGAGCGAGTGGGAGGGGTGGAGACGTTTATTCCCTGTGATCGCTGCACGACCATAGACTGTCTGCACGCCGCCTCTACATCTCCATGCTCTAATGAACCTGCTGCATTATGTTTCCTGTTCTCCGGTATGTTCTTCTCCTCTCTTTAGTTCACATTGAGTTCTGTTGAAACACACTTTGACTTCACTGATAAAAGGCTGACTGTGTTTTACATCCTTGGTTCGATCTTTTGTTTGATTCCTCGTATTTGAACATTTAGCTGAAGCACTCTCTCTTCTGAGTGGACCGAACTGTTCTGCCCCAGAGCTGGAAGTTCATGCTCTTAATTTATCTGAAAATCTACAAAAAAAAACAACAACAACACAACAGACATCAAAGCTCGTCTGCAGCTCCTCAGTCACGGCGACTCATCCAGCAGGACGGACACGAGGACGTTTCTAATGCAGAACAAAGAGAGCGAGGAGCAGAAAGAAGGCGACGGGACGACAGACGCCGCTTTAATCACTTTCCCTTAAGGATGAGTGAAGCTTCAGCTCGCCTCTTATCTTAATCTCTTCTGTGAAAAAAAGATGGCGAGGAGTACAGATTGTGTTCGGTCACAGACTGACGGGTCTGATGGGACCACAAAGACGCAGAAAGACAAGTCTCCATTAACGCCATGGTTACGCCTCGCTGCTGAAGCGTTCAGGCGGCCGACAGACAGAACTCTGATCACATCTTTATCCATTTTAAACTACGAGATGCTACACAGATGTCTCTGGGTCACAGAGTCTTTACTAAGAATCTTCTTTGGAAAGTAAGGAGACAAATGTTGGACAGTTTTTACTCGATATGTAACCAGTCAGAATACAGTTCTTTTTATTTTCAAACTGCATCGTCTGCCTACAGCGATAAATGCAAAGAATATAAAAAACCGATGAGCAGAGCCGACATCACTCCGAGAAGTCGTCTGTCCATTTAGAAATTGGAAAGCATCTTTGAAGCAGCCACAGCCAATCAGGAGTCGGATAGTCTTTGTTTACTTCTAGGAGTTTAACTGCAAGAAATGTCGACCAATCAGAGAGCATTTTCTTCAATCATCACCGTTCAGATTAAAATTGAGGTAATGATGAAACAATGGAACAGACTGGTCCATGAGTCAGACCAAAGCAAACGATCTTAGAGTGTAGCTAAACAGAGTGTCACACAGGCCTCTCACTGAAACCTTGACACAAAGAAAAGAGAAAACAAAGGCCGGAGCGTCACACTGCAAGTCTTCGATCCACTTGTCGGACACAAGGCTCCGTCTGTTGCTTCTTTTAGTTCTCAGGAAGACACTTAAAGATGTGACGTTGCTTCTTTTTGAGACTCTGATTAGAAAACAGAAGAACAACAGAGGCGCAGCACTCTGACAGGCTCCACAGTCTGCTGAGTATCGGCGCTGAAAAGCTGCCGACCACACAGAATCGCCGCCTCTGTCTCCTCAGCGGGAAAATAAAGTTGAGCGTTTTCCTCCTGACAAAGTGACAGTGGCAGCTTTAATCTATTCGCCGCGGCGTCCAAAAGGAGATAACTCCCCGAGCCATCGATCTGCTAAAGATTTCTGACGCCCGTCCATGATTGTCTTTGTCCCGCTCCGCCTCCGCCGAGACTCTGAAGTGCTGATGAAAAAGGTTCGGGGGTTTCCTCCGATTGCTTATTAAGAACGCTGATTTGCTTTAAGCGGATTTCTCGCCGCCGCTTGTCGTTTCACTTTTTACACCGTGATCTCTTGCTCCTCTCCGCTCTCTCTCTCTCTTTTTCTTACTTGTTCTTCTCGCCCTTTCGCTCTCCGCGTCAATGACACTTTAGGATTTCTCTGATTGCTTATTAAGATCATTAATTTGTTTTTTCCCCCGACACTCGTCCTGCAGCTCTACCTCAACTCAAACCGCTTATTTAGCTTTTTTCACTTTCTTTAATGTCTCTTACTCGCCCCGCTTCCTGCCCTCTCCCTAAACGCTGACCTCTTGGTCCGCCCGGGGGAATCTTAATTGTCCTCCAGCGCTGACAGGATGACAGCATGACAACAGCAGCATCAGAAAGGCCTAACTGCCGCTTGGGTTACTCTCTAATTGTATCCGTCAGCGAGTGTAAAACATGGAAATGAAAAGTCTCAGCGTGTGGGGATTCATCACTGCTGAGATCAACCTGACGAAGGAACAACTAGAGATTTTTCTCTCGATAGCCAACATTGCGCAGGAAGAGATTGGTGTGGAGAGGAGAGGTCAAAGGTCACAGCAGCTGTGACAGAGGAGCCAGGAAAATATTCAAACGTCCACAGGGCGATCATGAATAATGGAAAAGGCGGATGAGAAGAAAGAGGTTTAGGAACTATCCTCGTTTACATCAGAACGATCCTCGGAATTCAAAGAAGTTCCTCGTTCAGACGACAACGTTAAATAACAACTATCGTGCACTTGGCTCCGCAAAATAACGCGTTAAACGGTGTCTAATGCCACGTGCAGAACGGTGAGGTGAAAAAAAAAACTTAACTAATGAAGGAAAGTTTATGTTGACGGACGATTTAAGTGATTTAAGGTTGGACACTGAAGCTTCAGTGTTTATCCAGCTCTGCATCGGTCTGTAAACCTTTCTGTGTTCTAACCTCTCTCCATTTTTCATAAAGCATCTCCAATATTGATCCTAGTTTGAGCACGTTTCTGCTCGTGGAGCTTATTAGAAACATGCAGAGGCTTTTTAGGTCGGGTACAATCGCTTCCATCGCTGCAACACCTGTTGACCTGATAACTGCTCTCATATCTGGAAAACCGAGGGGCACTCACTACACATCTCACTGATAGGACCGTTAACTGTAAATTAATAACATACAGCTGCTTTTCCTGAAATGTGATTTTTAGAGACAGAGACATCCAGCAGGTTAGGGTTTATGTGTCAGACAGAAGTATTACATGTTTCAGAAGGCGGTTAGAAGACATTAGTGGGTGTAAGCTGGGTGTCATGTAGAAGTGATACGGTCTCCGACAGACGGAGTGAGCACAAAGCTGGGTGGGTCAGATGGGTTGGGGGGGTACTCACTGTTACTTACTTGAACGGCTTCTCCCCGGTGTGCGTGCGGATGTGGTTGTTGAGCGTCGTGGCGCCGGCGAACGCGCGGCCGCAGTACCCACATTTGAAGGGTCGGTCGCTGGAGTGCGTCACCACGTGGTTCCTCAGGTCTGACGGCTGGGAGAAGGACTGGGAGCAGTGGCCACACTGGTACGGTCTGAGAGGGAGAGATGGGTGACACAATAAGAGGAGGGTGCTACTGAATGGTCGAGGTCGTTATGAGCACCTGAACGCTACCTGGAGATGTTTCGCTAATTTCTTCGTATGCCGATGATCTGTTCATTTTGGTTAGAGTAAGCGTTGTCATGGTAATGTTGCCATTATCATGTGTTATAAAAGCAGATAAGTAAATAATTGATATTTTGTGTGTGTTTGTGATCACATCACACTTCATACCCCCCCCCTGCAAAAGATACACACACACACACACACACACACACACACACACACTCGGGGCAGAGGGAGTCACTGCTCCGGTAACCATGGCAGCATGACCCTCATCAACAATGCAGGCCAAGATCATGACTGGACCATCTATCACTGTGTGTGTGTGTGTGTGTGTGTGTGTGTGTGTGTGTGTGTGTGTGTGTGTGTGTGTGTGTGTGTGTGTGTGTAGTTTGAGAGACTAAGATAGAGACGGTAACAGAACAAGAAAAGTAGAGATAGATATAAAGAGATTGTGCATGCGTGTGTGTGTGCATGTGTGTGTGCGTGTGTGTGCGTGCGCGTGTGTTTGCCCTGATGGGAGCTCACAGTGAGAGTGAATCGGACTCAAACAAACAATAGCTGTGTGTCTGCTAATAGAGTGTCCTGTTTCCATAGAGCAGCTGATTTAATCTTACACTCTTTCTATTTATTGAGCTGATAACACACACACACACACGCACACGCACACGCACACGCACACGCACACACAAAGTCTCAGTCTGATCATCTTCTCCCGTTCACAGACCATCAGAAATATTTCATTTATTTTCTGCAGAATTTAACACAAACAGCCAAAAATGATAATTATGAACAAACTTTCTTTCTTTAAATAAAGAATCTTTTTTGTAAAGGCTCACATTTATACAAGTCTGATTTTTAGTTTTATTTAGCAGAGATTCGCTGCTGTTTTGTTTTTCAGAGTTTAAAAAAAAAGGCAGCCCTTTTAAATCTCCTGAATGTTTCCAAACATGTTTCATCATTTCAAATGTCTGCAGACAGAGTGTGTATGATGTTTTTTTTTTAAAACATCATGTAACAAAGAAAGAATAACTTGTGTATGGACTGTGGGGTCGGGGTCGGGGGGGTGGGGGGTTGTGTTTGATTTATTGTTCAGCATTATTTCGTGTTATGTCATCGTATAAAAAGTGCTCGACAAATGAAGTGTGATTTGATTTGGATGAGTAGCAGAACGCCGGCTGGACCTTGCCCTCCTTTTGAGTTCTCTCGCCTCGCAGTTTCAGTCTTAGTTAAACTAGCTAAGCAATATCTGACGACAGATTTTATTAAATCAAATACATTAAATTCAGTTAAAGGAAAAAAAAAGATTAAAGTAAGTTTTGCATTAAAAGTTATTGAAAGGCTTCCCTCACATGTTTAATTTCCAAATCAAACTTTTCCGACTGCATGGTAGATTTTGATGATCCTCTTGTGTTGAGTTGTTATGTTGTCAGAATCCTGATGATGTTCTGGTTTCTGTTCTGGTTCTTTAACTGTTTGGGTTTTCGTTGTTGTTGTCTTGGTATTTCCCACTTGATTCCTCAGAGTATGAAACGTTTGAATCCTCTCAGAGACGTACTCCCCGTACCTCACATAACACGTGTTTGTTTAGGAGTGTGTGTGCAGCGCGGCGGCGGGACAAACGCCTGCGTGCTGCCTGTAGTCCGAAAAATAAAGTGATTCTCATTCTGAAACCAATAAGACAAAACTCTGACATCGGTAGCTTACAAATAGGTAAACAGCCCAGAACGAGAATAAAACAAATAGAGCAACATCTTCAGCGCTCTAATAAATCACAAACAGCGACTGTACCCGGAGAGAACACACACTGACACACACACACACACACTCTGACACACACACACACACACACAGGAAAGTAATAAGAGTAAAATAGTGTAATATAAAATCGAAAAATTCTCACTTGCAGTTTTCCACATAAAAGGCGTCTCGCCGTGGGGGTGGGTTCATTTATCAGCCGGCTGGTCTATAAGTTCACGCCTCAGTGGGCCGCACCACTATTTATTAGGTGGGTTTTCTATGAAGAGCTGCATTGATTGTGAATAGTTTAAGTTGATGAATGTGTGGATATTATTTATTAAGGCAGCAGGCTGGGAGATTAATGCCCGGTTATTGTTTATTACAGCGCAGAGAGGAGGAGGAGGAGGTGAAGCATAAACACCTCCATCTCACACACACACACACACACACACACACACTCATACCTGCATATGCAACCTAAATATTTGCACACACAAGCACATGCAAATTAAATTCTCGTTCACAAATAATTTAAATCTGCAAACTTTTACACACAATCCACAAATGCATAACTTACCACCAACATGCTGCAGGTATTAATATTAATTAATGGTGTAATGCAGCTGATGTCAGCCTCATGTGACCTGCAGCTCACAGTCTGACAAACACCTAACTAACCTAAAACTCACAGAGGCAGCGACTGCTATGTCTTTGGCTCATTCAGATTTTTTTTCCCTGTTCCTGTTCGGACCGGCTCTTTAAAGCTCTGCAGTGACTTTAATAAACATTAATTCTATGTTCATAATCAAACTACTTCACATCCCTTTCTGCAAGTGTAAATTATAGTATTATAGTAATACTAACCCTAACCCCTAAGTGTTTGAAAGCTTCTTTTGTATTTGTGCGTCTCTCTGCCTCGGCGAGCATCAGGCTATGTGATACAGAAAAGAGGTCTGTAATCTGTAATAGTTCCTACAACATCAAACTTTTTAATAACCTGCTCACATGCCGAGGGTGTAAACCGGAATGTCCCCTCGGGGGTTATTAAAATATGCAGCGTCTCTCCTGCCGCCGTTAGCCGACCGGTTTACAGTCCGCTGACAGGACAGTCAGAGTGTCAACACCAGGACCGGCTCTCATAAACAAGACGCGTGGATTTGGTTCACAGAGAGCCCAACAAGCCTTCGTTTGGATTGGCGATGCTGCCATGTCGGCCCCACTTTGCCCCGCCTCCGTGTGTGTGTGTGTGTGTGTGTGTGTGTGTGTGTGAGATCTATAAAGTTAGTCCTATTAGTCACTGTCATCACGTCCACGAAATGAGGTTCAGGACAATAAACCTCGTGTCACCTTTCAACACAACATGTGGTAACAACAACAGGGTCCGTGTTAACATGTCGCTGCGTCCACACCTCTAACACATGAGCTGATGAAAGAGTGTGTGTTTGTGTGGTTGTGTGTGTGGGGGGGATGCTAAAAGCCCGCCGTGAAGTCTCACATCGCTCCGGTTATTCACTCTGCATGGGAATGAAGTTACTTGGCACACAACGCAAGCTTTCTTACTCATCAGAGAGACCGTTTGAGACGGCTGCCCACCGACTGCAGGAGAAACTCGCTACATGAAATGGAGATGGTCATTCATGCTTTGATTTCTTCTTGCTTAGATTATTGCAACGCTACTTTTTTACCCATTTGAACCCAACTTCTCTCAACCATCTCCAACCAAAACGCAGCAGCTCAGCTTTTAACCAGAAACAACAAGAGATGACACCAATTCAGGTGGGTGACACTCCCACAGCGAGGTGTTTGTTCTGCCATCTGAGTCTGCCTTCTCAACGTAAACAATAGGACATGGAGCGAGAAAGCCCGAGTACACCCAAGCCCTTCCAGAGAGGGGGCGTGGTCAGACACAGCTTATTTAAATATTTAAAGGTACAGACACAGAAACAGCCTGTTCTGAGCAGGGCTGAAATAGAGGGGTTTATAGCATGATCAAATACAGGATCATTAGAACAAGAAACTTCACACACATGTTTTGAGGAGCTCTGAGACTTATTTAAACTGGTTGAAGAGGAGGAGGATATGTGACATTTAAGTTTGAGAAGTGTAACACCAGCAATCAGCAAATGACACGATCACCATCAGCGCCGATGATAAGCATCACAGACAAGAAACAACGACTATTGACGGAGGTTTATTTTTTTTGTTTAGTAAGTGTTTAAGTTGATTTTTTCCTCTTTGCTTTAGTGAATCTGTGTGTGTGTGTGTGTGTGTGTGTGTGTGTTTGCAGTGTGCAGTGATGCAGAGTGAAGTGTGTTGATTGACCCGTATGGAGTCGGTCTAATCCATACGGAGTTATATCTGCGCTGTGAGGACGACTCGTCTGTCCGCCTCATATGAAGACATTATTCCCCCGAGACCAGCAGCTATAAATCACAGCTCCCGCCTCATCAATACACAATCAATGGTTCCTTAAACACACACACAGACACGTGCGCGCACACACACACACACACACACACACACACACACACACACACACACACACACACACACACACACACACACACACACACACACACACACACACACACACACACACACACACACACACACACACTAACTGTTTGTATGTGAGCAGACTTGAGCACATGTAAGCACAATAAAATCACAAACTCTTTTTCTGCTTCCCTCTCTGCGTTTTTCATGAACTTTCATCGCTCTCTCTCTCTCTCTCTCTCTCTCTCTCTCTCTCTGTCTCTCTGTCTCTCTCCCTCTCTCTTTGACTGTATTGACCAACCTATTAAAGCAGAAAGCTCACATAATGTCCTCTCATCAACCAGTCGTACTCATCAAATGAGCCTAGAACAAAACCGAGCCAACAGCCGATATCACGTCACCACAAAGACGGCCTCTGTGGGCGAGGAGCTGTGGATTATGAGCTGTGCTGTTAAACTCTCATACTTAAACATCATTTCATAATGTACGTTTTTAGATCCTAGAAGCTACGAGCTAACTAAAGAGCGCTAACATTAGCCTGCTAACACAACAATGCAGCTTGTGACAAGGAACATTTTGTCTGCTGCTTGCGCTTAACAGTTCTAGTCATAAGTCATAAGTCATAACTCCTCCGTTTGAACGTGAGTGGAGAGGGGGTTGGAGGTGTGTCTCTGGAGGAGAGGGAGGCTTCAGGAT